AACTCAGTGCATTTCTCCTTCCAGACGAGTCTGCTACAATTAACGGACCTTGAAGGGATGGAAGGCTTGGTCTTCTGGGCGGATGTTAACAACTCCGGATTCGGTATTCACTATCAGACTATGAGATTATGATGATGCGCCTTTTGCCATCAGACAAAATTAAAAGAAGCATTAGAGAAATTTTAGGGGGGACCAGATTTTGGCTTAATCCCGTTTCGCTCATCCCATTCTACCGACGGGACTGAATCAGGGCTTATTCACAGACTAATTGGGACTTCTAACATACCATTTCGAGATTTCTAGAAATGCAACCAAAGCAGAAAATTAATGGAAATTAAGTCTGAAAGCAGGTCTCTATTATCACGCATAACTTACCAGTTTTGACGCTCAAGCAAGTCTCTATTATCACGCATAACTTACCAGTTTGGACGCTCATTGAAGGTAAAGGCTTTTTGAAAACAATTTACTCAGTGGTGGAAGACCAGTGCAAGACAGCCTAATGTCGGTAGTCGATTTTTATACAGGGTCGATGAGAGCTTACAACACTCTTGGATTAAGACGTTTTCGAATTCCTTCTCTACAGCAAAGGTGATTCGCTTTTTTTCGCGGAACCTTGTCAAGCCTTCTGACACTGTTCGCGACTTTTTGCTCTGAACCGGATATGTTTTCCTTCAAATGCCTAGAACCAGCCATATGACTATTGAATACAACACCGAAGGCGATGAATATTTACACAACCTTCAATCCTTTTTCACCTACCGATTAATCTGCTCAAGGGAGAATTAATGTAACTAAGAAAAAAGGTATTAAATCGCTCCCAAGGTGCGTGGTCATTTCACGAGCCAAGCCTACGTCACCCCAATAGTTATAGTTCCTATTCCTTACATGGTCAATGAAACGATCGTAATCTTCCAAATAATGCTTCCATTAAGGTTGAAGGGGGTGTGTGCCGATTCGTGCGTTTCTGAGTGCGCGCACAAATTGCCCGGCGGAATTCGTGAAGATTCGAACGACTCTGACGCCTATTATTGGGGCACTTGAAGTAGAATAGTTGGGTATGGTCAGCTGATCCTACTAATC